TTAATGTATGTATATTAGGGCTGTGCGATTATTCGATTACTCGAGCAAGTTGGTTAATCAATTATTCGGTTAACCAATTACTCGAGTAATCAAGATTTCGATTACTCAAAACGATGATTAATCGAGTTACTTGAAATATGATTACTCAAAAAAAATTATTTTGCTCGTTAATAGAGTTTGCTTTGGAAAATGCTTATTTTCGTTTTTACATTCTGTATATGAAAAAAATTTTTGTTTTAATTTTTGAAAACAGAAACGTTGTTTTCAAAGTATCGAGGAACTTTAACTACTTTATACATATGTATGTAAAGAGTTGAAATGTTGATTACTCATTTTACTCGAAATGTTGATTAATCATAAAGCATTTTACTCAAATATTTTTGTTTTTGGTTAATCAAAAATCTTGATTACTCGAGTAACTGAACTTTTGAGTAATCATAATTTCCAATTAATCGAATAATTGAGTTATTTACTTTATGATTAATTAAAATTTTGAGTAATCAATTAATCGCACAGCCCTAATGTATATGTCTTAAAATAGTTGACTTCATTTTCACACACATTATTATTTCAAGGTAATTCAATTTTTTCGAGTTTAATTTTTGTTAAACATTTGCTGTGTCCTCATCAGTTTTAATTAATTTAGCTGCTATTACTGCTTGGACTGTTTCCAAATTGATGCAATATATGCCGATTTTTCTAAGGATTTTGACAGGGTATTTAATCGAATATTGATAGCTAAACTTGTATCTTTTCTGAATAATATACGCTTCGCTGTTTTTGTTTTTAATGTATCGCCTTATTCTTTTGTTGTCTTCGCTGGAGAGTTCCCTGGACCTGTTATTATTCGTCCTCTTTATTAATGATATTTCCTCCAGTTTTTCTAATTTTCTTCTATATACAGATGACTTGGTGATATATTATGAATTTAAACGTCTAGAAGATTCATCCATTCTCCAGTGTGAACTTCATAACTTCAACATTGGTAAATTTTTATAAGTTTTATTCCTGTGTCTTACTATTTCTCAAATGTCCCGCTAAAATCAAATAGTAAATTTAAAGATTTTAGTTGGCTTTTAGGTTGGATACGCGGTATTTTTTTGGAGACCTTTTCATACAGTTTATGTATGCAAATAGATTTGTGTCTGTTCATAGGAATTTTATACGGTTTACGTTGCGCTCGAAATTTGTAGATCCTAACCCGTCTTTTTCTAAAATGTTCTAAAATAGTGAAGCCGAGAATTGCATGGAAATGTCGCACCACTCTGGCGTAACTGACCCGTATCAACGTCACTCTATGCGTGTTCCCGGATATAGCAATATTGAAGGGAATTAGTGATGAGATGGCCAGATGCGGCTCAGAGTTGCTAATAGAAGAAGCGGATAGCTCCGTACTAAACGGTGGTAGTGATCAGGTTAGGAAATTGAATAGTACACCGTGGCCGTAACGAATGACTTGTGGAACAAACGGGAAGACTGTGAGACTACGAGATTATTATGTCCGCGCTTTAATAGGAAATAGGCAGGCATGACATACTAAACTCATTATATTTGCAGTAAGAGTCCTTACCGGCGTCATCACATGACACAGTGCTATCAAAGGTGGCGGAAACCAATAAGTACTCTCTGCAAAGGTTTCCATAATGAGGATGAGGTACACTCAGAAAAAAGCATTTCCTTAAAACAAGAAAACAGTATCCTTTTTTTAGAGTTACTAGTTTTTCCCTAATATTACGAAAAAATTACTCAATTTGAGAAGGTTTTCCTTAATTCAAGTTCATGCTCAAAATAGGCCGTTATTAATTTGAGAAAGTAAATTTAGTCAATATAAGTATTAATTTCCCCAATATATATAATAATTTTTTTAAATAATTTTGAATTTTGTTAGTGCTGTTAAGGCAAAGCTAATTGCTTTCCTGGCAAGTGTCGCACATTTCCTCGGCTTCATCAGGAATAATAAATCAGCAAATTTTCAATACACTTTCATTTGAGATAGGGTGTTTTTAAACCGAATTCATGAGATAGGGCATTATTCAACCAAATTCTGAGATACTGAGGTTGTTTACACTTGCCTGGTTATCAGGTAATCTGGTTAAAAATTATTATTCTGTAGTGTATTGTGTTGTTGTTAACTGAATGCAATACATTTATGCGGCAACAAATAACGGATACATTTCCCTTTAGTCAAAAAGAGGAACTAGGAAGCGACGAATGCATGCCCAACAAACAAATAGTTTTGCCGGTTAAAACGTTACATTTACTTAAAAATAAAGTAGGCAAAAAATATACATAAATATGTATGAAAACAGTGAGTGAGGTGACGTACGTACAGTGCACGGAACTAACTCTTTATTATATCTTTTTCTTTTTACTTCCATTGAAACGAATTTCATAATTATATCTTTAACAACATTGTTGCAATAGCCAAGTTCAACATATTCACATTTACATACATATATAAATACATATGTATTGCATACACAATGTAGACGTCGCAAATAGGCGAATGTGAGACAAAAACTAAAATTTGTTAATTACATTATAAATAATTTCTATTATAGTGTTGTTATGCTTTAATCTGAAGTAAAAGCCTCGCCGTGGAGACCTACAGAAACTGTATATACGTATGTGCACATGAATATGTAAGTATATGCAATTATGTTCAAAATAGACGCATTAGCGCCGCGGAATGGGAAAAGGAAAAGTGTTCAAAATTAGTAGCTTAGCGATTTGGAGCACTTCCAGGGATGTATGTAAGCGGAATTGGTGTAAAATTGGGTAATTTAGAAAAACAGTAGTTGAGAAATTTACCGAATGGAGATTTTGTATGTATGTATGTTCATTGTACAATGTATTGCTTCTGTGCCTACAAATGAAATGTCCAATTTGCTCCGGGCTCCGTCACTATATAGAGTGGACCGACCACTTTTGTTGCAACAATCAACCAATGAACCCACCACCCGGACACAGCCCATCAACTTGGTACAAATAGTTCTGCAGCATATGCACCAGCCTGATCAAATGCAACACAACATCACCCAGTGAGAAAATGTAATGTATAGTAATCGAAAAAATAATCAGTAAAACAACCCTTTTCACATTCGAAAATGCATTTTTTCCCGAGGGCGATGTCCTAAGAAATGTGGGGCATTCAATTTTGAAAAAATTGAGAAGTGAATGTGTTTTGCATTAGAATGCTGATTACATAGTTAACACTAATATAATCGACAGAACTCATAAAAAATACATTAGGGGCAATTTTATTTGTGATTTTATTCGGCAGTAAATTAAAAATAAACTTTGTTTGCAATTTAATTCATCAAACAAATAAAAAAATTAGTTTTATTTTATTGGAAAAGGTATTTTATGTTGGAAAATTACGAATCTCATTGATTTGCTCGACACATCAAACCATAAATAAAATTAGCTTTTTATTTTATCGGACTAAATTATATAATATTTAGTGCCGTTTTTTCAAGTAGGTTTTATAATTTATCTGGCCTTCAATCATATTTTTTCAGAACAAAATTTGTATTTAAAAGGCAGATACATTTTAAAACCTACTTGAGAGAATGGCTCTTAATATTTGGTTCAACTTTCAATTCAGAAATCTATCTAATTTGTGGATTTGGCATTTGCCTAATTGAAATTCGTGCAACCCTGCTTGCGTGGAGAGTACTGTCTTGACTGCAGTCTGCTGCTCAGTCACCATACTGGAGGCACAAGAGCTAACGCAAGCTGCCACCCTTTTAGCCATTTCAGGACCATCTGATCCCCAGCCGACACAGCAGCCAATATAGGTATCGCGGCAATACTCCCTCATTTCACGCGTTATGATCACCGAACTACAGGCAATATCACTTCTGCAGTTCAGTTGCAATGGGCAACAAAGCAAGAGCTCGGGGGTAGTAATTGGCGAGGCGGGCGAAACTCGTCTCCGGCTGGTTCTCTGAAGAGACCATCATGGTGACGACAGCGCATAACCCGGTTCAATTTATATGAAAGCCGTGGTTATTATTATTGAACTGGAATTCATCAATTTTACCGATACCACTTGCTCCCAATTTGTCAGCATAACCCTATCAAGAAATTCACGTTCAAATTTTTAATCCGAGTTTTCAGAATAAGATTTGCCATAGCTAACCCTATACAAAGACGGATTGACTATATGATCCCGGATCTTCACTTTGGAACGAACTTCGATGCCCCTATAGAAGTCGAAGGCTGGTGTGAATGTCTATGCAGACGAATCGAAGGTATATAAAGGCGTAAAGACGGTAGTCATTAACGCGTAGCTCGGCCTCAACAAATCCTATAAGCTGCCAAGCTACTGCAGCATTTTCCATAAGAAGGGCGAAGCTACTAAACTGCACTGCAGCAAATAAGAAGATGAATCTCTATATAACTATTTAGACCGTGAGGCTGCGATAAAGGCGCTAATATCGCACAGCACTTCCTCTAGAAGTGTGACGGAGTGCAGGGTAGCTCTGGATTTGTTAAATACATCACGTACATCTGTACTGAGTTCCGGGGCACACCGGCGTCGGGTACAACGAGGAGGCCGACGGGCTTGTCAAAGAGGATGGTTCGTAGGAATTCATGCTGATGGAGGAGCGACTCTCACTGACTCTGACTAATGATTAGATCTGTAGAAGATGCAGAACGAAAGATGGATAGAGGTACATATCCCCTTCGAGTGTCCTGCTCGTCCTTAGCAGACTGCTGAGCGAAGGTTTTCCATCCACTAGAAACTTGAAACTTGCTCTTTATTATACAAATATTGAATAGGATATAATCTGCATACCAAAAATGTATGTTGAATTTTCTTAACTTTTGCTAAAAGTTTGAAATTTGGAAATAGGTGCATACTTCTTTTAAACTTTTATTAAAAAAAATTCAAAACCGCCCAAATGTTACATTACTATTATTTTGAATGAAGGTGTACATACTATTTTAAATTAGTACTGTATTTTAACTCGGTACTTACATTGTTCTCTTACTTTTGGATGTAAATACTTAGTCCTCAAAATTGCATGTATCATTCAAAATAGTAGGCCCCTACTCGATTTCTTTCGTCACTTGCTTCTGGCACACCCTATACTCCACTGAGTAGGAAGTATCCTGACGATATTATTTTTGCTTTGCGCTGAACACTATTTTCACACAAATTTCACTTTTCGGGCGCATAGAAATGCACACACATTCACTTGACTTGTCTATAATTCTCTGTAAGGGAGTTTACTTAATTTTTGTGTCGCCTTTTGTGCACTGCACAATTATATATTATTCTCTTCTTTTTTTTTGTATGCGCGTGATCTTTTCACTTTCTTTCTTTTCAATAGACACCGCCTAGTTGTGGCTCAGAACGCTTTAAACCCCACTTCGAATACATAAAAACATTATACTATGTATGTAATGTAATCAGGGATTTTTTTATAACTTTTTGCTTATCTTTATTGATTTTTACCAGCGTAGTGCAAATTCTGTCAGACTGCATACACTTATGTATTTTACATCCTGACTTTCAGAGCTCATGAACCGAAAATCACAACAAAAGCCACCCTCCCTTGCTTCTGTGTGTATGCGTTGTATGAGGTGCTGTATCCCTTGGATACCGAAAAGCAAGCTAACCGCAAAACATTGAATACGTACCCCTATTGAGCAATAATAACAACAAACACCTACTAGGTACGTACTTACACCTGTTTTGTCATGAACAACTACAGTTGTGAGAATGACAAAACAACAACCACAACAAGCGGCATCGAAAAGCAAAAAACAAGTGCACTTTGCCTATGACATCGAAATGTCATTTCAAGCAGATATCAAGCACAATCGCAAATATTCAGTGTCATCGAAGTATATTAGGTACATATGCACTTGTTTATATATGTATGTAGGTACATAAACTTTAGGATCTTTTTTATATATACGTATGTATATATGTATGTACATATATACACTACTCAGGGACAATCATGCACAGGTACTTAAGGTCATCACTTATAACATCTGAAGGCTCTATGTAACTTGCTAACGTCACACTGACTTTCTGTTTGTTGTTATTGCAGAATTTATATTGCTATGGCTGCATCTGATAGACGATGTCCATGGCATGCGTCTGGTGTGTATTGTTGTTGCTTAGCACCCCCTAACTAGCATAAATTTGGTCACAATAAACAAGAATTTTGCTTTCTATAAAATGTCTACCTTTTTATCATATACAAATTTAGTTTTCCACCATGTTTTAAAGCGTTTTTTCTACGCGTATGTATATATAGTTAGTGGACACAGGTGTTTTTGTTATTTTATCGTTGTAACTTTGTGTCTACATATGTACGCGCGCTTTTGCATTTCCGTTCGCTCGATAACCGTCGGTCACAAAATCCATATCCGTGTTCAGCGGACTGTATGCGACACACTCTATTCAATGAATGCTGGTATTTGGCAGCTCTTCGCTTTTGCTTGAGCATGTTTTTATTGCACTCCGCTCTCTTTCGTTGATAGCTATTTGAGGGAAATTCTCGAAAATGCCAACCGGCAATGCTGTGATGTTAAACGAACGCGGAATGCAACACTGTAGGCTAGAGTTACCAGTATCTATTTTAATCAAGCACTCAATTAATTAAGAGATTTTAAAAAGTGTACGATTTCAAAATCAATGGGGAAAACGGTTCCTAGAATATTTTATATATTCAACAATTTTTATTGAGCTTGAGGCCGTTTTTAATGAAGAACTTATTGTGGAAAAGCAACAATAATTTAAAAAAGTGGTAGAAGTGAAAGCTATTTCGGAAATCACCACATTTTCTACTGTAAGAATTCTGATGATTAAATTTTTTTGAAGTTTTTGCTACATTCCAGGTTCTAAAATTACATGAATCTTAAAAAAAGTTTGTGTTGAGAGAAAGTTTCTTCTCAAATTCAGGTTTAAATTTTTCCATCTATTCTTCTCTTCGAAATAATGAATTAGAGACAAAATTTTTCGGCCTCAATGAGATTGCGACGTAATGCTTTTGTTTTTACTATCAAAACAAAAATGCAGTTAACACAATGGCTGTATTATAAATACCCCTTTACCCCTTTATTACAATGCTGACAGTAATAATACTATGTTCACGTTGAACCATAAACTCGAGTTTCACGTTTTGAGTTTATGAACAACTGTCAAGTGTTTTCGTTGGGGTGTTTAAGAAAGTCAGAGTTTAATTTGACATTTTTTTTTTACTTTTTCTTATTCACATTTAGCCTGTTCCAGTGCTCCGGGGTTTAGAATATCAACCGTTTAGCAAAAAAACAAAAAAAAAAAGATGTGACTCGATAGAACTTATCATGCTAATTTCAACCATACCAAGATTATTTTTCACAAATAAAAACCAAAACCAATAAAAGAGGTTGAAGTTAAACTTTTCTTTTTATATTTACAATATCTCGGAAACTATTTGACGGATCACAAAAGTATTGATGCTGATTTAAAGATAATTCAAATACCTTTTACAGTATAACCCATTTTAATGCATATTTGAAATAAATGCCATTTAAAAAAAACATATTTATATATTTTTCGGTTATTGGGGCTTAAAAATATAAAAAGTAGAAAATTATTTACACTTAGTAAAATACCCTCTAATTGCCCTTATTGTGGCGTCATTAATTTTTTAACAGGTTATGTTGTTCAGAAGATATTAATACTTAAAAAAATCCAAAAATTTAATTTTAACCATTTATACCTTATTCATTTTTTACTCCCGTCAAATAATTTTGGTAGGGTTAAGATAAAGCCAAAAAGTTCTATCGAGACACGTTTTTGGATTTTGCATAGCTAGATTGTTGATATTCTAGACTTATGTATACTATGTTCACGTTGAGCCTTTAACTCGAGTTTATGGGCCATTTTGGAGTTAAACGTTAAACACTACTCATAAACTCGGAGCTTTCCATACAATTTTTTTTTTAATCGCCTTAAACACCACTTCTATTTGGAGTTAAAGAGAATGCAGCCCTTTTTTTACTGAATTTGGTTGTGTCTTTGATAATTCAAACCTGCCACCAGCTTGCAGGCAATTAGTCTGTTCCCGTATTGCAGAATGTTGTCATTGTCCACGCTTCTATGAGTGACTTATAGAGTGTAGTTTTCTTATGTCGAGAGAGGACTACTCCTGAATTGCCTGCTCAGTCCAAAGTAGCACTTCTTGGCAAGAGTGATTTTGCGTTGGCTTTCCATGCTTCCATGACTTTATTATCGGTGTTAATGCAGGTTCCCAAGTAAACGAAATTCTCTACTTTCTCGAAATTATAACTGTCAACAGTGAGGTGGGTGCCAAAGTGCGAATGTGCTGACTGTTTGTTTGATGACAGAAGATACCTTGTCTTGTCCTGGTGTACCACCAGACCCATTCACTTCCTTATCCTTCTTGGATACGACTTCGCTTTTTTTGTTACCAATGATGTCGTTTCATCGGCATAAGCCAGTTCTGCAGTCCTTGTCATCTTCTCTAACATCAGATTAAAGAAGTCACATGAAAGGCAGTCACCCTCTCTGAAACCCCGTTTTTCACACAATACGCTCGATAAGGCCTTGTAACCTATGCTTAGAAGGCTGATCCCGCGGTAGGTGGCGCGAATGGTGGGTTCCCTTTTCTTTCGGATTGGGCAGAGCACACTTAAGTTCCAGTCGTCGGGGATGCGTTCATCTGACCATATTCTGCGTAAGATTTGATGCATGCACCTTATCAACTCCTCGCCACCGTGCTTGAATAGCTCAGCTGGCAGGCTGTCAGCTCCAGCAGCTTTGTGGTTTTTCAGCCTCGTTATTTCTATTCGTACCTCGTCAAAGTCAGGTGGAGTAACATCGACTCCGTCATCATCGACTGGGGGTTCGGGTTCTTCTTATCTACAACTTTCCGTGCTACTATCATTCAGTATGGTGAAGAAGTGTTCCCCCCATATTTTAAGTACGTTCTGAACATCGGTAACTAACTCGCCATTGTTGTTTTTACAGGAGTATGCCCTGGTCTTGAAACTTTCCGTAATTCGCCTAACTCTCTGGTAAAATTTTCGGAAATTCTTCCTTTCGGCCAGCATTTCAAGCTCTTCGCACTCACGTATTTATTTCGGTCTCTCTCTTCTTATTGTGGCAAATACGTCTCGCTTCCCTCTTCGGATCCCTATAGCGGTTCCACACAGCGCGCAAGTAGGCTGCACCTTTTTTCTCTGCAGCTTCATTACACTCCTCATCGTACCAGTTGTTCTTTCGGGCTTGCTGAAATCCGCGGTACTTAATGAGCGGGAAATATGGTTCCACTGCCCGCATATATCGCGTTGTTGAAGAGTGCTCTCTGAGAGCAGGTGTGAGAGTCGAGTAACGAATTATTTGGCTGTCTGTTGTGATTGCAGCTTTTCGACGTTTAGCTTTCCTTGCTTATTTGGGCACAAATTTTTTGTTGCACAGAGGCGGGTACGTATCTTGGCTGCAACAAGATAGTGGTCGAGTCGATGTTTGGGCTTCGGAGTGTACGTAAGTCCAAAACACTGGAAGCATACCTTCCGTCTATCCCAACATAATCGATTTGGTTTCATTGCTTGCCTTGCCCTGTCCAACGCATATCTTGGATGGCGGTGATGCCAGCTCTTGTTCTTACGAGGACATCACCCAGCCGGGCAGAGGCACCTTCCCCATTAACGGTCCGGACATTCCAGGTGCATGCCCTCAAATCGTAGTCCTTTAAACGTTTGTCGTGGTCGTCATCAAAAGGGGGTTTTCATCCGAGGCTTTGTTGAATTTCTTCACTGAAACGGGGTTTTACCATTTAATTTACAATTTAATTTTGGCGTTTTTATGCCATGTGGGTTTACTAGAATATATATGTAAAACACAAGGGGTATTTTCTCCAGGTCATTAGATCCGCACCGTTCGTTCGATTTTCAAAAATTAGGTTTCAAATGAAAGGACTTGGCCTGTATATGTGCAATAAGGATTTACGTTTCGATAAGCATAGCGACCTTTTAAAAAACTTTATTCAAGTTATTTAAAACAATGAACCAACTATTCCTATATGGGTATCAACCGAAACGGGTTCGAAGAGGCTTTATTTCTTAACTAAGTGTATAAGGGTTGCCACTTGTTTAAAAATAACTTTCAATTTAAATTAAGGTATTTGAAACACTTATCACTTAATGGGTGCCATACGAAGCAGGTTTAAGGAGGTAGTAATTAAAAACATTTCGCCGAGGGTTGCCACATGTTTTAAGGGTCGAATTTAGTTAGTTTATATGTACACAAGTTATATGAATTTTTAAAATATGGGTGTCCAATAAACGAGTGTTAAGAAATATTTAGCTTCAATATATATAAATTTTTGAGGTAATTGAAGAGGGGTTTCACCTGTTGAAAAAGTTAGATTCAAAATATTTAATAAGTTAAATGAATTATAAAATGTTGGGTATCAAGCGAAACGGGTTGATGCGAAATACTACCATTATTATTATTTGCTTATTACATGGCTCAAATAAGTTAATGGATTTGAGTGAAAATTTTACTATTTTAATATATTTTCTGATATTTCTATAAATTGAATTCAGTCTGGTTTTTAGTTTATACCTTTCGAAAGGTTAGAAGATGCTTCGGAAAATCCTCAATCATTCAAATGAGTTGCAAGTATTCACTTATTGGGCCATATGCTTAACACCTAAGCATATGCTTTTTTCTAAGCAATTGCTTAGTTTTAATGCATACGGCCCAATGTACGAATTAAGCAAATAGAAAACTTTAAATTTCATTTAAGTATTTATTTATCAGGTTTTCATAAGAAATTTATTCTCCACTAACAGGTCTATTCTGCGCTGGTAATAAAAAGTTTGTAACCGGTAAATATAGTTCCTGTCAATTTTTAAACACTTTTCGCATTCTGTGTATTCTTGTAACCGGTAAATTTTGTTACCATGTCATAAGCTGGTAACAAACTATTGCCCCGTGAAATATACAATGCCAGAATTTCCACAATTCTTCATAGCTGAATTGCTGAATATTTTAACTGCATTACAAACGTTCCTAGAATCGCGGTGACAAGAACTGGTAACATTTTTTGGTAATAAACTTTTCCGGTTACAAAATCTTCGGTAACGTGACCTGTAATTAAAAAGCTTAAAAAGTTAAAAGGGTTGTAATTTAGATCTTTGACTATATATGTATGTATATAAGCAGTAAATTAAAGGATGATTTCAGTATTCACATATTTTATATTGTGTAATAATTTAACATCCAATCGTATTTTTCTTTAACAAAGGCAACCACACCATAAACATAAGTTTAACTAGAGCTTTTGTTTGCAAATGAATACAAAATGCTCTGTTGAGGCAAATACATTTTATCAGTGACAGGCAACTCTGGGCCATCTAGTCTAACTTGGCCACACTTTTACTTA